TATTCAAAAGTTATTATGTTTAGAGATAGGCCTTTCAATAAAGGTAGCAATGACCATGTTTATTGGATGATTATGAAAATTATAATTTAACACCATCTTTATTGGAGAAAGAAATGGCAACCAATGTCTATTAATTGAGAGTCAAATAGAACTTCTATTCTCTGGAATATACAGTATTGTGAAGGAATATACAATATAACAAGGGAATGTTATCACATTAAAGATCAGCTTCTAATCTTCCTAAGCAAATTTAGCTGCCACTACTACTTGTAAACATATAGATGAACTATATAAAAAATGATCTAGGTGGGCCTCATATGTGTTCTCATATTTTTGCCCCTGTCAGAATGAAAGTCTGCCATCTGTCCATTCAATAGTCGTTTAATTGCTGTAGACCAAGAAATACCAAAAGTGCTTATGTTCAAATATGTCCTTCAAATAAATACTGAATTCTGCCACACAATGTTGATCTATCATTTAACAGATAAAGGGTTTATCAATATAACCAATGCAAAGGAAGATTTTGAAGTTGGCATAGACGAAGATACCTGCCTTGAAGTTAAACTTAAAGCCTATCCACCAATCAGATGCATTTGGATATTTTCCCAGATGTCATTTCCATGTCAGCAAACTTACACAGACACTTACAGGTAATTCACTTTCTTTGATTACTTTGCTGCTATCCGCTTTGGCGCATTTTCTCCACTTCTAAGATGTTTAAAGCTATGCTATTTATTTGTTGCATATGTTTTTATTTTTTGTATGCCGCAATCTATTGTTTCTCCAATTAAATTAAAAAGTTCAGTGACAGAGAACTTTAATGTGGCAAATCCTACCAGTGCCTTGTCAAATCGGGGGGCTGTGTAACATTTTTTCCCATAATGCAGCAGAAATATTTGAATGCATCCCGCTGTAATTCAGCATGTTGAAGTTGCAGAGATTTTTGTGTAAAAATTTAAGCATCGATCTGACTTGAAGGTGCTTCAGTTTGGTTGAGTTCAGTCTTCTCCCTTGGGATATGAACTTAAGACTTATAAATAAATAGATAAATAGCAAACAAACAAACAAAATGAATTAATTCCTGAGGAACATATTGATGAATTTCCCAGTATGCTCTTAACACCATTCCAGGTTCAAAGTGTGAAAAATTGACAATAGTGGCTACCAGAACCAGGCTATTTTTAAAACTGAGGTATAGAACAAGTGATACTGAGGGATACCAGGGCAGAGAAATTTACAGCAAAAGTTATTTGTGTGTCTTGAAGTTATTTTCATTTTCATTTCTTTCTTCTCCATGTTCCCTCTTCCCTCCCTCTAAGCATTAGTTTATTAATTATCTGTCCTTCCTTCTATCAGGCAGTAATGAGGACCAGCAAGGCAATATTTTTGGTGAACTTTTTAAAGCCCATGGCTCTGAATCAGGAAGTCCCTGAATGATGCAGGATCCAGAGTTTGTTCTGATAGTACAGTAGTAACAGCACATGATAGGTCCCACTTGTTCTGACCTAGTCTTACCAAGAGCATGAAGCAAACTCTTGTCCCGACAAAAAACCTTTTTATTAATTTACTGTGAATTCTTCTCATTCACATCCAACAAAGTCTTTCAATGGTCTTTACAGTCACAGACCTTATCTAGCTTGGAGAGCTGCCTGGCCAATATCTGCAAAACTTGGCAAGGAGTCTTGGAGAGTCATGAACCAATTAAGCAAACTAATAGTCTCCTGCAAACTCCACTCCCCTTTTGCTCCTCTTTTATTTCCTCTTGGAGGGGCCATTCATCGTCCACCTATGGCCTTGCTTCCAATTCAACCCCTGTTCTTTAGCTACTCCCTTCATCTGGCAACTAT